TGAGTTCTGTGCACTTGAGATCACCTTTTGCTTCCACTTAAATACCACACCAGGTCCCAGAATATGCCCTGGGAATGACTGTATTAATTAATTAACAAAATATTTCAGTAGCAAACTAGATTTGCAACTATTGGCAAGGAAGAGAGATTAGAAAAGGGGGTCCCAAAGAGCCGTGCCCCGTTTTATTTGAACACCACCTTTGTTTTACTGCATTAATCAGTCACCCCACCCAGGATGGGAGCAGGGAACCATGTAATTCCAGAGCTTTTCTTTGCAGTGGGAGCACCAGGCACATTCATGACATGACTCACAGGCACATCTTGCTCTCTGATGACATCTCAGTTAAAATGTTCCCAGCACGAGGAAAGGTGGGTTTTGTCTGACAGGGAGACAAAAGAGGTGTTGCCTACACAGTGCTCTTTTTTGAGGAAACCCTGATTACCACATCCATAGTTCTTATGAGTGGTACCAAGAGAGAAATTATTAGCACAGCTCAAATTCCCAAATCCTTCAACTTTGGGCACATGCAATGAAATCTGAAGGGCAGTTACAGCCTCTGTGTGTGTCCCGGGCACAAGCCAACTTAAAAAGGCAGCCCCATCAAATGAAGTGTTTTCTGCACCTTGGGAGACTCTGATCTAGAGGTTTAAAGCAAAGCCTGAAATGCAAGTTCTATAACAGGCAGTCCCTGCAGGAATCTGGCCACACTCTTTAACAGAATTGAGCAAACCCCTCCCTTCTCTGCATCCCTGAACCCCCCAGCTCTGGCTGTGATACCAGGGAAGTTCCCTGAGACTCTCTGATGGCTGATTTTATGGCAGAACTGAAGTTTTAGTGCTGCAACAGAAGCCCACAATGGCCTTGTCTTTCTTCAACCTGTCTCTATCTTAAGCTCTTCCCTGATCTCCTTGTGAATTTTGATCCATTATTTGAGAGACCTTTATTAGATTACTCAAAGGAAAAACAAGCCCTGCAGCCCTGGAAGAGGCAGAAAAAGGTACTGAACTAATAAGGAACTAATTAAGCTGCAGCCAAGATTTAGGACGTATCAAACACAGATATCACAAAACTAATTGCACTTCCCATTTCCTCCATTTAGATATGATCTCTAATGTAAATCATTTGGATTTACAGCAGTGTAAATGTAAATCAGTTTGATTTACATTTATCTTTTCATGTAAATCACTTTTATATGAGCTCTTGTAAACTGCCACTCACTTCCCTCCTAGATTCCCCCACAGCCTGTTGCTTTCCAGCCTTGTAATGTGCCTCCTCTCTTCACCAGTTTGTCTCCTCCTTAGACTGAGTCTAAGGACTGATTTTTCCTCTGGTTCAATAGCTTAACTTTTAATTAATTTAACCTAAACCTGATGGATGCCTCAGCACCATGACAAAGAACAAGTCCTTGGATCAAACAGGAGCAGGGTCACAAACTTGGAGTTAATCTGGGTGAAAACTCAAGGTAATTCATGCCTAACCTTGTCTCCTTTCAGTGATTATTGGCTCTGTGGTGTGCACACATCTCACCCAAATCTGTGGCTGTCTCCATCCCAACCTCACCCACCCCTGGAATTACTTTAAATCAAATGTCATTATTTGGGCACTCAGTAACTCAGCTCTGCTTATCTTGCTATTCCCACAGCTGTGATTTTTCAGCACTTGGGCAACTCAGGCTTAATTCACCACCTCTATCTTCCTGTGAGGTAAAAAAAAGAATTCTCCTTATTTCATAAATAGCACCATGAAGTGACTCACCCAAACTCCCCCAGGCAATCAGAAAGCAAGGAACTGAGCCCTAAGTTCACACAAGACCTGACTCTTTCCAGCCTGTCCCACTAAATTCTTCCTTCTGAGCCTCTAAAATCACCCACAAAGCACACAGTTACCCCCCCAAGACAAAGGAAAACCCGTGTAGGATCCCTCTCAGCATCAACCAGGCACGACAGAGACAGCACAACTTACATGGCTTTGCAGAGGGAAAGCTTTTTCCTCAGGGAAGACACACAGGGATGGCAGACCTGCCTCACTGCTGTGCCACAGGACACCTCAGCAGGGCAGGAGTTCTGGACCATGGCAGCACTTCCCAAGGCAGGAGGCACAGCAGCACTCACCCCTCAAAAAACAACATTGCCAGAGACCACTGAAAGCATCTGGAGCAGGACAGAACGTTCAGTCTCCTCTGAAAACACCTGAGGGTTGGGTTGTGGTGCTTGGAAATCCTTCCCTGAGTTCACACCACCAGCAGCACCCCCGGCAACATCTTTAGTTGAGATCTTGGCTGTGCCTGCCCCAGATTTCAGCCACCCTCAGCTGTGTGTTCTTCATCTTTTTATTTTTTTTTTAAACCTCAGAATCAACTTACCAACTCAGCATCCCTTCCCTTTTGGCTGGGGTGGCTTCTTTCAGCACTTTCCCAGCTGCACTGAGGCTGCTGCAGCTTTTTCCCCTGCTCCAAGTGCAGCACAGGCTCCTTCTGCCTGGGATATCAGGGGCAGGATGCCAAGACAGGGTGCACCTTCCAGCATGTAACATGTTGGATTTATGCTCTCCCCTCTGCTCAGCTTTTGTCACAGTTCACAGGGCTGCTGAAACTCTGGGTGGTTGAGGCTTTGTTTGGTTTTGGTTTGTTGTTTTTCTTTAATTGATCAAGTGAATAGAACTGTCTTACAGGGCTTTGCAACAGAAGCTCAGAGCTCCAAACCTGTGCATGGAAGACTTTTTGTTATTGGTCAAAAAGTCCACCACAGGAGCAGAAAGAAAGACCCTACTCCTTCAATTTTTAAGAGTCTGACAAGTTCAAGATCCCTCAGAAACAACCTTCAACTGTGTTAACAGAAATACAGCCTTCAACTGTGTTAACAGAAATACAGCCTTCAACTGTGTTAATAGAAATACAGCCTTCAACTGTGTTAATAGAAATACAGCCTTCAACTGTGTTAACAGCAACAGTAGATAGCAAGCTCTCAAATGTTCTGCCAGCCTTCTCACTAATTCTTGTCTAGCTTCACACCTCAAACTGTTTTTGAGGTTTGTTTTTTTTTTTGGTTCAGTTTCATGAGCCCAAACCACTGATATCCAAAGAAGAATATACCAGAGGAGCTTCATGCAATTATATCAGTAAAAGAGGAAAGAAAGCAGAGCAGCAAAAGGTAATTTATTATCCCTCAGATGCATTCTCGTTTTAGGATCAGTGTTCTCCATGAAAACAAAAGCTGTTTGTAATTCAATCCAGGCAGCAGGAACGTTGTAGGTCCCAAATATGAGAGGTCAGTAGGCTCAACATCACCCTGGTTCTGCATAAATAGGTCTGAGATCTGAGTGTGCTGCACCTCAAACATGTCCCTTCCAGCCAGGGAGATACTCTCAGCACCAATCTAAAGGCTCCATTTAGGCTACAACTGGAACAGGCAGCACTTCCAAAGGATACCCAGAAATCCCTGAGTATTAACAAAGCCTAATCCTGCTCCTGTTGACACATGAAATTCCAGCTCAAATGGGGTAACAGCACATCACACAGAGGAAGGCCAGCTATGCCCTAAGAACCCACTCCCTTTCCTGGTTCCAAACCCCTTCACCTGTTAGTTAGTCCAGGCTCCAGGGAGGTGGATAATTGGAGTGGAACATATGGAGGAAGAGGTGAGCTACAAGCAGCTGCTAATTCTGAGCCCAACTCTCTTGGGATATTAATGAGCTCCTCAGGGTCAGGATGTTCCCTCAAGTGAGTCCATTCCTCAGAAGCTACTCAGCTGCTACTCAGTTCTTACTCAACCCATTGCCCTTTGACATCCTAGCAGGGGTTCTGAATTCAGTAAGAATTTGCCCTGCTCCACAGTTAGGAACAAAGAACTTTGACCTCAGAGAGCTGATGTGGGCTGAGCTACAGACCTGGAACAACACAATCCAGAGGGATCCTTCCTGGATAAAAACAGGGGAAGGTGCCACACCCAGACAGCTCTGGCAACCAGCACAAGGGAAGCAGTTCCCAAATCTCAGCATTTGCCCTCCTGTGGGCTCACTGGAACCCCCAGCCACAAGCTCAGCTGAGTAAAACCCAGCTTAACCATTTATAAAACAATGGGAATCCCAGAAACCAAAGTCCAGCTGCAACACCAGACCCAGGGATGTCAGCAGGGAAATGGGCCTGCAGGAGCTGGACCAGGAGAGAAAGGCAGGAATAACTCAGGACTCACAGCTCATGCCCAGAAGAAGAAAACCAAGCAGATTCAGGCTCAAAAGTTGAACTACACGAGACAGCAAAACTCTAAATCACGTGGCTCCGAGCAAAGCAACGATGATAAATCACACACGAAAATAAGCATTTGTTTTCCAACAGTTTTTGTGCCAATGCTGCAGTTTGCAGCAGTCATTAAAGTACAAGAAACTTGAAGTACAAGAAACTTTAGTTCCTTCTGGAGCTTCACAGCAGCTCTGGATATCTCAGGACTGTCACAGCACCCCAGAAGTGAAGCACAACAGCCAAGCTCAAAACAGTGTCCTGGTGAGGACAAGAACCACATCCAAATTTCAACGTGTATTTTTAAGGACCAAAGCTGCCAATCACCAATAAATACACAGCAAATCTGCTTTCCCCCCACCTCCTGGAGGTGACCCACAGGTTCACTTTGGGATAACTTAGAAGCTTTTCACTCTGTGACTCAGTTTCCCCACAGCTCTCTCTGGCAGGGTCTAATAAACCATGTCCCAGCCAGCAACTAGACTGGGCTTAAAGTCCACAGGCCTAAATAAAAGCGTTTTCAAAGTGGTCCAAGCTGATTGCAAGCTGCAATTACAGGAGTTATAGGTGCAGGCTACTTGAGTTGGATGCAGTGTCCCACAAGCTCTACTTTTCAGTTGATGAAAACCCAACATAAATCACATTCCTTGTCAAGCAAGTCTGGGAAATACAAGGAAAATAAACCAGGAGGTTGACCAGCTCGGCACATGGAATTTCAGTGAGTGTTTCCATGCATTCCCCCCCCAGTTCAGCAGCACTGACTCACCTGTCCTCCCGCAGGAAAGGGCTCAGGAACCGGGCTGAGTCGTCATCGTGGCTGCTCTGCTGGCTGCTCTGCTGGCTGCTGCAACAGGGACAGGGAAACACAGCGCTTAGACAGGGCCTAAGCTCCTAGGAAACACTCAGGTTTAAACCCTAGATCAAGGAAATAAAAAAAAAGACCAGGTTCATACTGCATTTCTGGGGGTGCCAAGAGGAGAGGGCAGAAGCGGCCGCGTCCCATCTGATTTACGGCTGGTGTTTGGGGTGTCAATGGGTTCTTCCCCGAGAACTTCCTGATGTACAGAAGTGCTCTCGCACATTGCTTAGGCAGCATTTCCTCGTGCCACCCCCCAGCAGCACTTCCTGAACATTCCCACCCCAAACCCCGCGTGTTTTGTTTACACCCCCCCAGTTTCAGGCAGCAATACAAAAAAAACCCAGTTAAAAACCAACTCCGAGTGGCCAGCGCTGAATTTCTGGTGGGACTTGCACGCCGAGCCCACAAGATGTCACTGTCCCCCCTTGAATGGGAGATTTTTTTTTTTTTAATATTTCCAGCACATTTATTCCATGGATTTGCCCTCGCTCCCCTCCAGTTGCTCCAGGGACTCAACAGGGTTCCTCTGCCTCTCCTTGCTGTGGCTTCATTTCTCGGCAGGAGCTTTCCTCCTGAGCAGCAGGCAGAGCTGATTCTGCCCCCAGGGAAGACTAAAGGTGTTCCTGGGCTGGGTTTAATCTGCTTTCCCTGGCTACCAGTGGCTCTGGAGTCATGGCAACACCATCAGCACAAACTGCACAGTCCTGCCTTGGGACACTTGTCTGAGCACGCAGAGCGTGATAAAATCCTGTGGTTTGGCTGTTAAATAAAACTAGTTCAGGTACAAATACACTTGCAATCCCAGCTTCTGCTGCACTGCACGTGGACCTGCACATCCCACTGCCCAGAGGCACACAAATACAAATATGGTATCACAAAACCTCTAAATTATATTTTCATTCTGAAGAGCAGCGATTCTCGCTAGTAACATCTATCCTGGGGGAAAACACAGTACCAAAACACTGCAGTGGCACATTTCCCTGAATTCTGTTTGTTAATTTTTCATTCAAAAAAAAAAAAAAAGAGAGAGAGAAGGGGAGGGACTTTGTGTTCCCCCCCTACCCCGAGATCAGAGTTTTGGTCCAAGAGATTTGTGGTTTCCTGTGAAGAGAAATCAGCCAATGATTCTTATTATCATTTAATACTTTCCTCAACCACCTTGATTGTGACCAGCTGCTTCTTCAAGATCTGAAAGAGATTGATCTTACTGAACATGGTCTTTCTATAAAACACAATAATTGCCCTGAGGACCCATTTAGCATTTGAGAAACATCACCCACTGCTCACTATTTCTGCTGCATGAGACAGAACCCTGTTCCTTACTGTTGTGAGAGAAGACTGAACCTTTCAGAAAAAACTAATTATTGATCAGTACAAAAATCCTCAAAAAATAACACACAAATCAGCTTTTGAAGTTGGACCAAAAAAAACCCACTAAACTGCAATATTTCTGATTTTCAGCTCAGGATTTAAAGCACAGAACTGCAGTGTGGGCACACAGAGCACACTCAGCTCGTTTCCCCACTGCACAGGGGGGAGTTTTGCCACCAGAACCTGGACAGGGAAACATTCCAGCAAAAGGGGACAGATTGAATTTTCCCACACCCACGTGTTTAGTCATTCTGAAGTGCCTCGCTGCAGAGAGGATAATCAGGGAATAAGAATTCTATACTGGCTTCAAAGCTATAAATCAACAGCTGGGTAAGAACAAAATATTCCCAAAAGCAAAGGAACATTTTTCTTGGGCTTCTTGAGCTTAATTATGGCCCAGTGAACTGGTTTGGAAAGAGCAGAGAGGGAACCACACTAACCCTGGTTATTTAAATTATCACCCTTTAGATACAAGAAAGCACTGCAGGGACTTCTTCTATAATTACTTGTTTTTTCATAGAAAAATCCTCCCACCAAACTTTGCCATTTCAACTCAGACCAAGCAAATAGAATAAAACTCACCAAAGGAGAATTCCCAACCTCTCACCAGTGCTGGTAACGCCACGTGAAAGTTCCCTTTTGGGGCAGCTATAAAAGATGAACCTTCAACCCTTCCCTGCTCATCCACCCATTAAAGTTCACAGGCAGAAAAGTCCTTCAAATGAGGGCTTAAAATTTAACAGAATCCAGACACTGCAGCACCTGAGCTCAGGACTGGGAGCAATTAAACAAGGAGAGAAATCAGTTTTTTACCCACTGCTCACTCCAACATGAAGCTTGGCAAAAATCTGTGAGCTTTTCACACAAATAAAGTGATTTTAACAGTCTGATTATTAGCCAGTGAGGCTGCTAAATTCCCTAAAACGTTCAGAGAGGTTAAAATGCAGAGTTTATTGTGGTTTTTCAGTCCATTTTAAGGTGGCTTGTCATTCAAAACTGTTGCTTTGAGGTGGTACAAAGACGAGTTAGGGCTGTTACACCAGAGATAATACAAGGAGGTAAGAAAGGTGTGATTTATATTGAGCAGTAACATGGGGAGAAGCTTCCAGAGTCATGGCAGTTTGGTATCTACAGAGAAGGCCCAAAGCTGGATAAAATTCCCAGGAAATCAGCAAACCCCAAACTTATCTCATTCCAAAGCTCAGCAATGACAAACCTGAATTTGGACAAGGCTCAAACCTTTGGGTGCACACGCCCAGGGTGCCCCTTCCCTTCCTATAATTTCTGTATTTTAAGGTTTATGCCTTGTGCTTTTTCCTTAATTCTCATGCAAACGCTCACACTTATTACCTATTACTTTAGAAACTCAAGAGAAGTCTTAACTACAGATTAACCAGGTCTTTTAACAATTAAAACCTTTGAAGAGTCTGCTCCCATCCCTCCTCCACCTCACTGCTCCCAACCAATTTACCCTGGTAACCCAAGCAAAAAAAAAACCATTTTGCTGACTAAAAACAGTGTTCTGATCACACACAATTAGTTTTAATCTGGAGATCTGAATTTGCTTTTGTGCCTTAAATATTTAAATATTTCCTATTTTTCTCGCACTTGATTTTGAGAAGTTACGAGCTATAAATTAGATTTTGTACTATTATCTTTCTGCCCTTTCTTTTTTTTAAAAAGTCTCATTTTCTTCTGAGATTACACGTAAGGGAGAGCCAAAAATCTCTTACTTTAAGCAAGAACAAGCTTTCAAAGCTAAGCAGGTCCCCCAGTCGAAGATATTTGTCAGGATTTCTCAAAGTTCAGACACTCAGTCAATGTTTGCACACTAAGAGCCTTCTGGGACTTCTCTACCCTCGAGGTCTGGGTGATAAATCCACTGTACTTTTATATCTGCAGGTGTTTGGGGCAGAATTTTAGCCAGATTTCTTTTTTTTTTACTGGTGATGGATGAATGGGACAAGGAAAGAAATGGCTGTAACCTGCAAGAGAGAATCAGTTAATGAGCTTGGAGGATAATTCATAAAAACCAGAAGGCTGTTGCTATCCACAGCTATTAGTGAGAATTTCAGGCCTGAACCCAGAGGATTATTTTGTATTCACTTTGCTTAATTAACCCCAGTAATCATAAGGCTTTGAGTTCTGTATTATCTGTTTTAAAAAGGGGAATAATAGACACTTGACAATCAGGTTTACATATTCTTTAACTGCTTTCAGCAACTGTGGCAGCAGTTTTTTTGAATTAAAAACTACCACGTATGAAATGCCACAAGACACAAATATTTTCACCAGCACATTTGGGAACAAAGATATGCAGGTTACAATCAACAGAATAGGCACATCAAGGCTTCTGTTCAAATTTACAAAGCTTTTTGGTTATTTGAACAACTAGAGAGTTCTTTTCGCTCTCTCAGCTGCAAAGCACAAAGACCTGGCTCTACCTGCCTTAAAATATATCACAAAATAATTGGGATGCCTGAAGAAGCACCACCAGAAAGAGAATAACACCACCAATATCTGGTGTGAGTTGTGGTTGCTTTCAAACTGGCAAAGAGGTTATCCCCGTGCCTTTTACACTGTTAAAATCCACATTAATTAAAAGAGAGCTTTGGCTTAAATGAAGTCTAAAAGATCTGCAGTGCAAATGGAATATTTTAGCCAGTGAATTCCGTGATGTGCAAACAAGTCTTCATTTGAGAACTCCTCTGGTGAGTGTTTGTGCCCAGCTTTCCTTGACAACACAAACAGGATAATAAAACCAGGTTGAACTTCAAGCCTCAGGTGTGTCAGAAGCAAAGGTTCCTCCGAATGTTTTCCCACAGAGGGCTTTTAGGAGCTTGGCAAAAGCAATTTTATCCTTCAATTCCGCCCTCCTGCTCTGCTCCTCCTCCCCAGAATTCAGCCCCCCCTCCACTGCATATTTCTCATAAAACGGCAGAAATAGAGCTCCCAGTCCCAGCTGCCTTAACAGCACCTCATTGTCCTCGGAAAATTAAATTCCTGTCATCAGGAGCCCCGTGTTTCTATGGTTGCAGGGATCCGGAAATGACTGCGCCAGAACAAACCTCAAGGAACTGCCAGGTGGAGGAGGGAAAGCAGGATAAAGGACATGAATGGGCCTGAGATCCAAGGGATAACAGTGTCCCCCCCATCAAGGGCTGTCCTTTGATGGACCTCAGGCTTCAGTTTGCAAATTAAAAGCCAAAGCACCTTCAGACACAGTTTTTCCCGCAGGTGCTGTTCCCACACTCTGGGATACAGGAGGAAAGTTGTGAGGGCAAAGACACCCTTCCTGCAGGCAGCAAGGAAACATCAGGAAGATTTATGCTCAGACTTGTTGCTGGACTGATCCCAAGCCCTGGGGGAGGCAGGGAGCACAGCATTTCCAAGGATCACAGCACCCCTCCTGCCTCCACAGCCCTGCTCCATCTCAGGATGGAGTCTGGAGAAACCCCTCCAAAGAAGGAGAACCATAGAATGGTTTGGGTTGGAAGGGACCTTAAAGCCCATCCAGTCCCACCCCCTGCCATGGGCAGGGACACCTTCCACTAGCCCAGGCTGCTCCAAGCCCTGTCCAACCTGGCCTTGGACACTTCCAGGGATGAGACAGT